TATTAAACAGTTTACAAGCATGAAAACTTGCCATTCAACTGTTGTTATTGTTATAAACAGCCTCCTGGTGCTTCGGAGCTCATTAACTGTTTAATAATTGTAAACAAAGCCGCCAAAGATTGAGAAAAGATGTACAGGTATGTAACTGCTTGCGTAAGTGCTTTCGTGAATCTGGCCCCAGGTCTCACCCGCAGGGGTCAGTGCGGGTGGAGGACAGCCAGCAACTCTGCGGTACCCGCCAACCGTATTTAGATATGTGGCTGGCGTGGGTACTGGTGGAGGTGAAGGTGGTAGTGTAGGGCAGATGATGGGGAGTGGCAGCCTAAGGCGGGCGCTGGAGGCCACTGAAAGGAGCGTTGACGATGGGAACTGGATAGTGTGAAGGGATGGTGGATAGGGGTGATAATGAGCCGACTGGACATTGAATTAACGAATTAAATTACCAAATATCAAGGTGACGTTTAAATATATATCCTCCTCATCCTCCTCCTGTTAAGACAGCCCATATGATGATAATAATATTAAAGATACGAAATATGGATTCGTGAGCACCAAACAGTCCGGTTTGTTGTTTACCTGTCCCTGTGAGTGTATGGTAAACTGTTGACTGTCTCATGCACCAGGACACCACACCTCGTCCTGTCTACCTCTGTCACAGCAAGAACTGTCTTAACAACAGTAAGGTCTATTGATAACTGTAACCCAACACCCCGACAAGTCCGTCTCTCCCCACCACAGAGTATACCCCACACAGTATCCCCCACACAGTACCCCCCCACAGCTATACTTACGGTACTCCCCCCCCCCCCCCCATCTCATACAACTGAGAAACCGTTAAAACTTTCATTACAATATAAGGAATAAGAATTATTCTGCATGATATCTACTATATAACAGCATATTACATACATCAAGGGTTTTCAAACTATGTATAACAAATGAACAATACAATAACATTACAGTGAAAAGGACTTAATAGCATCATGATTCATCATTGGACTTAAATTCAGGCTGGCGTATTGATCAGTGCAAGCCTAGCGCCTCCAGCCTTAATTCTCTCTCGTAGATTTACAAATTCTCACAAATAATTCATATTAATTAACTTGTTAAATATATTAATTTTAACATATTACAGCCGCATGAGGCTACGAATGTGATTATATTATGCAGATAAAATAAATATATGTTAATGGCTTTGCTTTTTTCCGAACGATCAGTAATTGTTGTGTCTTCTACGTTTATTTTTGGTGAGGACGGGTGGCCGCACTGCTCGGTGGGGTGGTATGGACCACATGGCCAAGTGGAACGCTATAGACCACATGGCCAAGTGGAACGCTATGGACCACATGGCCAAGTGGAACGCTATAGACCACATGGCCAAGTGGAACGCTATGGACCACATGGCCAAGTGGAACGCTATAGACCACATGGCCAAGTGGAACGCTATGGACCACATGGCCAAGTGGAACGCTATAGACAACATGGCCAAGTGGAACGCTATGGACCACATGGCCAAGTGGAACGCTATGGACCACATGGCCAAGTGGAACGCTATAGACCACATGGCCAAGTGGAACGCTATAGACCACATGGCCAAGTGGAACGCTATAGACCACATGGCCAAGTGGAACGCTATAGACCACATGGCCAAGTGGAACGCTATAGACCACATGGCCAAGTGGAACGCTATAGACAACATGGCCAAGTGGAACGCTATAGACCACATGGCCAAGTGGAACGCTATAGACCACATGGCCAAGTGGAACGCTATAGACCACATGGCCAAGTGGAACGCTATAGACAACATGGTCAAGTGGAACGCTATGGACCACATGGCCAAGTGGAACGCTATTGGCCAAGTGGAACGCTATAGACCACATGGCCAAGTGGAACGCTATGGACCACATGGCCAAGTGGAACGCTATAGACCACATGGCCAAGTGGAACGCTATAGACCACATGGCCAAGTGGAACGCTATAGACCACATGGTCAAGTGGAACGCTATAGACCACATGGCCAAGTGGAACGCTATAGACAACATGGTCAAGTGGAACGCTATAGACAACATGGCCAAGTGGAACGCTATAGACCACATGGCGAAGTGGAACGCTATAGACCACATGGCCAAGTGGAACGCTATAGACAACATGGTCAAGTGGAACGCTATAGACCACATGGCCAAGTGGAACGCTATAGACCACATGGCCAAGTGGAACGCTATAGACAACATGGCCAAGTGGAACGCTATAGACAACATGGTCAAGTGGAACGCTATAGACCACATGGCCAAGTGGAACGCTATAGACAACATGGTCAAGTGGAACGCTATAGACCACATGGCCAAGTGGAACGCTATAGACCACATGGCCAAGTGGAACGCTATAGACAACATGGCCAAGTGGGATGCTATGGACGACATGGCCAAGTGGAACGCTATAGACAACATGGCCAAGTGGAACGCTATAGACCACATGGCCAAGTGGAACGCTATAGACCACATGGCCAAGTGGAACGCTATAGACCACATGGCCAAGTGGAACGCTATAGACAACATGGCCAAGTGGAACGCTATAGACAACATGGCCAAGTTTGATAACAGCCACAGTACATATTCGAATTGCTACACAAATTATAGACATATTATACTAAACACATGATAAACGTTAGATGAATTTATATGTATTATACAACAGATATAGAGATTAAGTATGCAATAGTTAGTGATGGTTGGCTGAGTGGGCAGGGTGTTGAGTGAGTGTGCTCGGAGTAGGTGTGTTGGGAGTGGTTGTAAAGTGGACTGAGAATGGGTGTAGAGTGAGCTAGATGTGCATGCAGAGTGGACTGAGTGTAGAGGGCTGTTGTTGTTAAAGATTCGCTACCTGGAACAAATTTCCAAGTAGCACAGGCTACGGTGAGCCCGTATGAGGTTATAGAAGGCTGTCAGTGAGGGTGGGGGTGGTGTGAGCGGGGCGTGTGTTAACATGGCGGCGCGGAGAGGCGGTCCAGCCACCCCGGCCCAGCTGTTGGCGCCTTCCCTCCACTTATTCGCGCCAAAACCTCCCGCCTGCACACCTGAGACCCCGCGTCCGAATGCTCGGCCACGTTTCCGACTTCGGCTGCTAAAATGTGTTACGTAAACCTACTGTATTTTATTTTATTACGGAACACATGTATGCGATATAATACGCGAATTACAATGTTGCAAGATAGTTAAATTTACTATTTATTTATTGCATAACAAGTAAATGAAGGATATTTGAGGGAGGCGAAACAATGGATTAGGAAGATCAGACTTACAATAAAGGCTTGCTCATTATAGCACACGGATTGTTCGCTTTGAACAGGAGTCTTATTTGTTGCTAGTCCTGAGTGGGTAATGAGAATTGTTCTCATCAAATACAATCAGCATTTTCAATAAACATTCTGGTATAACAATTACATTATCCTTATGTGCTAATGACCAAGACGGATGATGATTTGAATAAAAAACATACAAGTATAGACATGTAAACATTCTTACAAACATATAGACAGGTTTTAACTGCATCATGGCCTGTGTTCCATCTGTGCATCATGGAATAATGTGCAACAATCATTGTAAAGGTGCCATTGTTGTTAGGTCTGTGTTGTCTGTCTGTACGTGGTGGCTGTGGCTCGGAGATATTCGTCCTCTCACCCTAATGTCTGAAGGTGGCAGATATTAATCGTCTTTCACCCTAATGGATGAGGATGAGAGATACTCATCCTCAGTCACCCTAATGGATGATGATGAGAGATACTCATCCTCAGTCACCCTAATGGATGATGATGAGAGATACTCATCCTCAGTCACCCTAATGGATGAGGATGAGAGATACTCATCCTCAGTCACCCTAATGGATGAGGATGAGAGATACTCATCCTCAGTCACCCTAATGGATGATGATGAGAGATACTCATCCTCAGTCACCCTAATGGATGAGGATGAGAGATACTCATGCTCAGTCACCCTAATGGATGAGGATGAGAGATACTCATCCTCAGTCACCCTAATGGATGAGGATGAGAGATACTCATCCTCAGTCACCCTAATGGATGAGGATGAGAGATACTCATCCTCAGTCACCCTAATGGATGAGGATGAGAGATACTCATCCTCAGTCACCCTAATGGATGAGGATGAGAGATACTCATGCTCAGTCACCCTAATGGATGAGGATGAGAGATACTCATGCTCAGTCACCCTAATGGATGAGGATGAGAGATACTCATGCTCAGTCACCCTAATGGCCAAGGGTGATATATTTACTAGCTCGACTCTGGCCAACTGATAACACTATGCCCTCCACCATTGTGGTTCACTATAAATATACCCAATGAAATCACCATAAATTGATAGATCTGTCTTAAAGTACTATGGCAATATGGTGGGATTGAACGTGCGTTTCTGGACTCCCCAGACACACGCTCTCCCCACTATATCATGATGTGCTAAAAAGCATTTCAACCAGAAGGTCTACTGATTGAGATGCTTTCAGCCCATCATGGTAGAGTGGGTAGTGTGTATGGTGCTGGGGAGTCCAGAATCCCGAGTTCAATCCCGCTACACTGCCATAATATTATCCCCTCTACATGAATGTATTTTTAACATAGGGTTTGTTTATTGTCTGAGAATGTTGCCAATTTCGTGCACATCCCACAGAGGTCACGGGAAAGGTCAGAGGTCACGTGAAAGGTCAGATGTCACGTGAAAGGCCAGAGGTCACGTGAAAGGCCAGAGGTCACGTGAAAGGCCAGGGGTCACGTGAAAGGTCAGAGGTCACGTGAAAAGTCAGAGGTCACGTGAAAAGTCAGAGGTCACGTGAAAGGTCAGAGGTCACGTGAAAGGTCAGAGGTGAGGTGAAAGGTCAGAGGTGAGGTGCAAGGTGAGAGTCAACATTGCATGCCAGCGAGAGTGGTGACACAGGAGACCATTACTGAGACGAGACCTTCCACCAACCACAACAACCTTCAGGGCCAACTATACAAAACTCACTTCATAATGAGTTGGTAATAAACCATATCCCAAGCTTGGAACTTCGTAGTCACCATATCCCAAGCTTGGAACATCGTAGTGACCATATCCCAAGCTTGAAACATCGTAGTCACCATATCCAAAGCTTGGAACATCGTAGTCACCATATCCCAAGCTTGGAACATCGTAGTCACCATATCCCAAGCTTGAAACTTCGTAGTGACCATATCCCAAGCTTGGAACATCGTAGTCACCATATCCCAAGCTTGAAACTTCGCAGTGACCATATCCCAAGCTTGAAACTTCGTAGTGACCATATCCAAAACTTTTAACCTTAAATTACTAATCACATTGTCCACTATATTTAATTTACAAGTGTATAAATATCTCAAGATATTCAGCGTAAAAAGAATTATAACATATAATCCGCATTCCATTCATCTGGGCGCTAGGAGACTCGAGCCCCGGACCCGACGCGTGTGAGGCAGAGGCGGCTCTATCCACGTGTAAATGGGGTTCGTGGTTCGAGTCTCCTAGCGCCCATGTGAATCAAATGTTTATATCCATCAAAGTGTGGATGACAATTGATATAATCAGCATATTTTTGTCAATATGTCGTCCAAGACGGACTATGAGACGGTCTGGTGAATGGACGCTTCTCAACTGTCTTTTGTTCGAGTCCTTGTATCCTGGTACCCTTCAACCCATACAAGTATACATTGTATATATAATGTATATGTGCTCGGGGATATACATTATATCCCCCGAGCACATTAATGTAGGCCGGAGCTACAGAAATATTGCTACATATACAGAGAGGAACAAAGCTCTCATTTGGGGATAATTCTGGCGTTCGTGTAACACAGAGTCGGATTTTGTCATGATTATGTCTTGTTTTTCTGTGGTTAACGCCGTGTACCGCAGGTCCTAATTATACCTTTCTTGTTACTGCGTTGACAAGACCGGGCCCCGGCGGCTAGGGCCCCGGCTGCTAGGGGCCCGGCGGCTACGGGCCCGGCGGCTAGGGCCCCGGCTGCTAGGGGCCCGGCGGCTACGGGCCCGGCGGCTAGGGCCCAAGCGGCTCGGGCCCCGGCGGCTAACCACTGGTCAAGTGGTAGTGGTACTGTGTACGCCACGGGGGGGTGATCCCTGGTGTGCAGGTTCGAATCCTGGTCGGATCATAGAGTTCTTAGCGATATTATATATTTCTGCCCTGGCCTGAGTATATATGGAAGTTTTATTAATATCAGAAATATTAGAAATGGTTTATGCCGTGTTGCATGGACCCCCACCTGTGTTGCATGAACCTCCACCTGTGTTGCATGGACCCCCACCTGTGTTGCATGGACCCCCACCTGTGTTGCATGGACCCCCACCTGTGTTGCATGAACTTCCACCTGTGTTGCATGGACCTCCACCTGTGTTGCATGGACCCCCACCTGTGTTGCATGGACCTCCACCTATGTTGCATGGACCCCCACCTGTGTTGCATGAATCACCACCTGTGTTGCATGGACCCCCACCTGTGTTGCATGGACCTCCACCTGTGTTGCATGGACCCCCACCTGTGTTGCATGGACCCCCACCTGTGTTGCATGGACCTCCACCTATGTTGCATGGACCTCCACCTATGTTGCATGGACCCCCACCTGTGTTGCATGGACCCCCACCTGTGTTGCATGGACCTCCACCTATGTTGCATGGACCCCCACCTGTGTTGCATGGACCCCCACCTGTGTTGCATGGACCCCCACCTGTGTTGCATGGACCCCCACCTGTGTTGCATGGACCCCCACCTGTGTTGCATGGACCTCCACCTGTGTTGCATGGACCTCCACCTGTGTTGCATGGACCCCCACCTGTGTTGCATGGACCCCCACCTGTGTTGCATGGACCCCCACCTGTGTTGCATGGACCCCCACCTGTGTTGCATGGACCCCCACCTGTGTTGCATGGACCCCACCTGTGTTGCATGGACCCCACCTGTGTTGCATGGACCTGTGTTGCATGGACCCCCACCTGTGTTGCATGGACCCCCACCTGTGTTGCATGGACCCCCACCTGTGTTGCATGGACCCCCACCTGTGTTGCATGGACCCCCACCTGTGTTGCATGGACCCCCACCTGTGTTGCACCTGTGTTGCACCTGTGTTGCATGGACCCCCACCTGTGTTGCATGGACCTCCACCTGTGTTGCATGGACCCCCACCTGTGTTGCATGGACCCCCACCTGTGTTGCATGGACCCCCACCTGTGTTGCATGGACCCCCACCTGTGTTGCATGGACCCCACCTGTGTTGCATGGACCCCCACCTGTGTTGCATGGACCCCCACCTGTGTTGCATGGACCCCCACCTGTGTTGCATGGACCCCCACCTGTGTTGCATGGACCCCCACCTGTGTTGCATGGACCCCCACCTGTGTTGCATGGACCCCCACCTGTGTTGCATGGACCCCCACCTGTGTTGCATGGACCCCCACCTGTGTTGCATGGACCCCCACCTGTGTTGCATGGACCCCCACCTGTGTTGCATGGACCCCCACCTGTGTTGCATGGACCCCCACCTGTGTTGCATGGACCTCCACCTGTGTTGCATGGACCCCCACCTGTGTTGCATGGACCCCCACCTGTGTTGCATGGACCCCCACCTGTGTTGCATGGACCCCCACCTGTGTTGCATGGACCCCCACCTGTGTTGCATGGACCTCCACCTGTGTTGCATGGACCCCCACCTGTGTTGCATGGACCCCCACCTGTGTTGCATGGACCCCCACCTGTGTTGCATGGACCCCCACCTGTGTTGCATGGACCCCCACCTGTGTTGCATGGACCCCCACCTGTGTTGCATGGACCCCCACCTGTGTTGCATGGACCCCCACCTGTGTTGCATGGACCCCCACCTGTGTTGCATGGACCTCCACCTGTGTTGCATGGACCCCCACCTGTGTTGCATGGACCCCCACCTGTGTTGCATGGACCCCCACCTGTGTTGCATGGACCCCCACCTGTGTTGCATGGACCCCCACCTGTGTTGCATGGACCCCCACCTGTGTTGCATGGACCCCCACCTGTGTTGCATGGACCCCCACCTGTGTTGCATGGACCCCCACCTGTGTTGCATGGACCCCCACCTGTGTTGCATGGACCTCCACCTGTGTTGCATGGACCCCCACCTGTGTTGCATGGACCTCCACCTGTGTTGCATGGACCCCCACCTGTGTTGCATGGACCCCCCACCTGTGTTGCATGGACCCCCACCTGTGTTGCATGGACCCCCACCTGTGTTGCATGGACCTCCACCTATATAGTAGAGAGGCCTACTAACCAGGGTAAAGTGTACCTATGCAGGCGATGAGTCACAATAACGTGGCTAAAGTATGTTAACCAGACCACACACTAGAAGGTGAAGGGACGACGACGACGTTTCGGTCCGTCCTGGACCATTCTCAAGCCGATTCTCACAATCGACTTGAGAATGGTCCAGGACGGACCGAAACGTCGTCGTCCCTTCACCTTCAAGTGTGTGGTCTGGTCATCAATGTACCTACGAAGGAAGCAAGGCTTGACGGGTGATAGCCATAGGAGAATAACATCATATGTTGCTAGAACACAAGAGGAGGCCTGGATGACATTAGTAACCATATGAGTGACGTGTGAGGAAGCTCTGGTTATGAGGTGTGAGTAACAAATGTTGTGTGTGTTGCAGTATGAGGTGGGGTACAAGCCGGCACGGTTGGGCAACTGGGAGGTGGGGCGGACGTTCCCAGAGCGCCCCAGACAACGCCGGGGACCCACCAAGGTCATCGCTGATGACCGAGGACACCTCCTGCCTGGAGTACCCCGCACACACGCCTCTCCATGGGGGCCCCTCACGCAGGCCATAGGTAGGTTTGGGGCCCTCGCTCATGATACAGGTAGGTTTGGGGCCCTCGCTCATGATACAGGTAGGTTTGGGGCCCTCGCTCATGATACAGGTAGGTTTGGGGCCCCTCGCTCATGATACAGGTAGGTTTGGGGCCCTCGCTCATGATACAGGTAGGTTTGGAGTCCTCGCTCATGATACAGGTAGGTTTGGGGCCCTCGCTCATGATACAGGTAGGTTTGGAGCCCTCGCTCATGATACAGGTAGGTTGGGGGCCCTCGCTCATGATACAGGTAGGTTTGGAGCCCTCGCTCATGATACAGGTAGGTTTGGAGCCCTCGCTCATGATACAGGTAGGTTTGGGGCCCTCGCTCATGATACAGGTAGGTTTGGGGCCCTCGCTCATGATACAGGTAGGTTTGGAGCCCTCGCTCATGATACAGGTAGGTTTGGGGCCCTCGCTCATGATACAGGTAGGTTTGGAGCCCTCGCTCATGATACAGGTAGGTTTGGAGCCCTCGCTCATGATACAGGTAGGTTTGGGGCCCTCGCTCATGATACAGGTAGGTTTGGGGCCCTCGCTCATGATACAGGTAGGTTTGGGGCCCTCGTTCATGATACAGGTAGGTTTGGAGCCCTGGCTCATGATACAGGTAGGTTTGGGGCCCTCGCTCATGATACAGGTAGGTTTGGGGCCCTCGCTCATGATACAGGTATGTCTTGACCCTTCATCAAGTTCTCAGGTAAGTCACTGGTTATCAGTGCTCCAGCAAGCTATTAATTTACTTAATATATCTTAATATATGCACATATAGCCACCACCCTGGGGGCACATAGGTGTATGTGGGATGAGGCTGCTATAACTCAAGTAGGTCACATATATCAGGGGCTTTTTATAATATAAGACAGGGGAGGGGTATATAATCTTATTAACACAAAATATCTACTTGTATATTTAACTTTACACATTATATCAGCCTTATGGTATTCCTGAAGGAATGTCATTAAAGGTTCTGGGGAAACCATTTTAGAATAGCGAGTGTATAAAGGAGTCTTAGTTTCATACTTTAGCTCTCTGGTCCCGCGAGTCACGATACAGGCAAGACGCCATGTTGGGTCTCCTGCTCTAGCACTGCTGGGTGGCCATGTTGGGTGTCCTACTCTAGCACTGCTGGGTGGCCATGTTGGGTGTCCTACTCTAGCACTGCTGGGTGGCCATGTTGGGTGTCCTATTCTAGCACTGCTGGGTGGCCATGTTGGGTGTCACGTTAGTGTTGACAACATTACTGGTGCCAACACTGGCCAGGGGACCATACAGGTGCCAACACTGGCCAGGAGAGAGCCAAGGAACCATACAGGTGCCAACACTGGCCAGGAGTGACCCAAGGGGAACCCTGTAAGTACTGGAGAGAGTCAGAGTTTCATACATTTGCCAAAACCCTATTCATTTCTCCAAGCCATCTGTCCTTACCCACCACAATGGTATTAATTCACAAAGTTTAAACAATTATTATTTGACTATTTCCTTGGGAAAAGGGTTAGAAATTTCTAGAAGCAATGTAATATCATCCTGCACCTACAGATTTGCAATATTAGGTTTCATTGTCTCCACAAACCCCTATACAGATGACATCTAAAGGAATATTAGGCTGCGTTATTCTAAAGAAACTGCACCACTTTCTTATCTGGAACAGGGGAGACTGAGGCAATTTCTCTCCTCAAAGAAATTATAGTAATAAATTGTCCCCTAATCTAGTAAATGGTTCCAGCATTGTTCCCTGAGACCTTAGTTATATTGGCCCTGATCCGGTACATTTGGGAGGGGTAGACTGACTTTGGTGTAATAGGTAATATGAGTATTGTGTCCGGTACAGATCCCAATGTTCAGGAGGGAGTTACTCGGGCCGGCGACCAGCCACCACCACCACCACCGGCCGCCGCCACAACCCACCACTCCCAGGATGAGGCTGTGAGTCCTAATGCCTCCTCCTCCTCTCTTACTTTACTATCTTACTTTCTCTTTACGATATTTTGTTTTACGGATTAGAATTTTCCTTTACTGTTGTGAATCTCGTCTACTGTGAGTTTTGTCTGTGAATTCTCTTTTACTGTACTGAAGATTCGTTTAGAGTTCTGAAAATTCCCTTTCAGAACTCTAAAGTTTTGAATTTATATATATATATATATATATATATATATATATATATATATATATATAGAGAGAGAGAGAGAGAGAGAGAGAGAGAGAGAGAGAGAGAGAGAGAGAGAGAGAGAGAGAGAGAGAGAGAGAGAGAGAGAGAGAGAGAGAGAGAGAGAGAGAGAGAGAGAGAGAGAGAGAGAGAGAGAGAGAGAGAGAGAGAGAGAGAGAGAGAGAGAGAGAGAGAGAGAGAGAGAGAGAGAGAGAGAGAGAGAGAGAGAGAGAGAGAGAGAGAGAGAGAGAGAGAGAGAGAGAGAGAGAGAGAGAGAGAGAGAGAGAGAGAGAGAGAGAGAGAGAGAGAGAGAGAGAGAGAGAGAGAGAGAGAGAGAGAGAGAGAGAGAGAGAGAGAGAGAGAGAGAGAGAGAGAGAGAGAGAGAGAGAGAGAGAGAGAGAGAGAGAGAGAGAGAGAGAGAGAGAGAGAGTTATAATTTAGTTAATATAATTTGTTTCTGGTTATAATTTGTAATGTTCTCAAAGGAATTATTATGGCAGCCATTACAGAAGAAATCAAGTAGTCGTCAGACCGCTGACTTTGTTTTCCTTGAAAAATAACTGAATTAACATTGCTTACGCGTAATTGATTTACCTAAAGGTGATTATTAGATTATAGCCAGTACAAAATTAGACAAATAAAGATACATGTTTCATATAAGGGCTTATAACCTAGATTAAGCAGATGATGAGACACAATAACGTGGCTGAATATGCAGACCACACACTAGAAAGTGAAGGGACGACGACGTTTCGGTCCAGGACCATTCTCAAGTCGAAACGTCGTCGTCCCTTCACTTTCTAGTGTGTGGTCTGGTCAGCACCTAGATTAAGGTTTCTCATGTATATGTTATCTTGTGAAGGCCCGCGACGCGGACATGTTGTTGCAGGAGGCCGGTGGTGGTGCCGGGGGTGGAAGGCTGCACGTCACAGGGGAGAGACTGCTCTCAGGAGCCCAGGGAAGTGACGCAGAGCATCTCGCTCCACACCACCACCACCACCACCACCACCACCACCACCAGCAGGAGTCCGAGATCACCTCCGGCTCCATTACCCCCGCCTCCTTCAGGAGACCTAACAAGGCCTTCAGTCCGTCATCTGCCAGGTACTCTCATTTATATATTATTTTTCTAACACATACGCATATATAATTATATATATATAGATATTATTAGCAATTATCGCATAAGTACCTAACTGGTACTCAGTTGAGATTTTTAATTCCTGAGCACCAGTAGCGTATCTGGGTGTAATTCACCCTTTGATTCATGTCATGTAAGGTGTAATACACAATATCGTGGGTAAAAAAAACATTTAATTCACTTTCATCATCAGGGTGATGTCAAAACAGTTTATTGCTTGTTTATGGTCTTTGTTTCCCCCCCCCCCCCCCCAGAAGTTCTCGCAAGCCGTCGGCAGCTGGGTCACGCAGCTCTACGGTGTCGACGACAAGTCACGAAAGGATTCTGAAGGAGGTGGCCAACCTGCCACCGGACACCGTTGAGGATGCTTTGCTTCCTCGTCGGCCGGAGGAGGAGCTGGTGGAGCTGACAGGGTCTCGAGCTCTGGCCATCCGCTTAGTGGACCACCCAGCACCAACCAACTGTACTAAATACGTCGTTCTTCGGCCTAATACCGCGCCCTCGCCTGCACCATCCGCGAAGGCGCCATTATTACCAAAACGACCAAAAACTTCCAAAATCATCCGGAAAGTTCCCGAGATTGAATTTGCCTTAAAGTGGGATCTGAAGGAGAACGACATCATGGAGGAGGAAGAGGACGAAGCCATCGAGGTCGTCTCTTTGAAGAAGACTAAGTCACGTGACCCTCTGACACCACGGTCCGTGAGTTCTGTGGACTCTGGCGTTCACATCCCCAAGACGGCCTGGAACGATGGGCCAGACACTCGTGAACTCGCGTCGAAGTTAGAATGCCTCGAGATGAGCCAGGAGATTAAGTCTGGAGTGGCACCCTCACGCAAGAAAGTCTCCGAGCCGGAATCTGGTTATGGCACTCCAAAATCTCGAGACTCTCGCGCCAGTCTGCCGTCTGTTGGCTCCAGGGTCAGTTCAGGCAAGTCTAGCGTCAAGGTGCCCCTCAAGACAGGAAGTGCCACTCCAGAGAGCAAAAACAGTAGCCGCAGAATATCTATGGATTCCCAGAGATTAGCACAAGAAAGTCCCAAATCAAAACCCAAGTCCAGAATAGCTTCACCGAGCTTGGGAAAACATACTCCTAAGTCCTCTAAGGAGTCCAGCGGTGGCGCGGAGACTCAGGGTTCCAGGAAGGAATCTAAACCGCAAAGTCCCAGAGAAAAGAAACAATTGGGGCCCCATCTTCGGGATCCTCTGGCAATTATGGAAACAATGGACTCAGTGTTCCACACCGTTCCCCTGCGGGACACGGGGCGAGGGATCCACACGTACAGAAGCATGACGGGGGAGAAGCGTCAAGCCGTGGCAGCAACACAGACGGAGGAGGTGGCTACAGAAGCGCTCGTTAAACGTTGTGAAGACGACGGTAGCGGAGGTTCCCCGCGTGAGGCAAAGGTACACAGACAAGCTGGCACGGGTGACCGGGTGACCTGTATAGCACCCGGTGCACTCAACGATATCTCAACATCATGAACCTATATACACGTCACATTAACACTATCTAATTGTAACAATTTATTTCATTTAGCATTCTGTTGCAATCACGAGCTGGAGAAGTTATTGGTTAAACGTTTATGGCAACTTTTGCGCCACTCAAACTGATCTTGGTACATTAACATTTTCTTTATAACTACATTATATATATTTTGCATCTATCAGCAGCAAGCGTTTTAAATGACCAGTGTGTCTAGTTCCTCGCTCACCTTTATCAACAAAATACTAGTGACCTGAGCGCCTTGTGTCTGTGACCCTGACAGGTGCGGCACAACCACCCAGGTCACCTAAGGTCGAGGAACTGCCTGGCGTGTGAGGTCAGGGCCATGGAGGAGCCGCCCAGGAAGTTCAAGGGACCCTCAGACTACAAGCCCGCCTTCAAGGCCGGCAAGGTCCACCCCGGCACCACTGTCAACAAGCCAAAGTGGGTGGCGCCAGCGCCCGGCTACGTCATTTGTTATTGTTATGTTTCTTCACCTCATTCTCAAGTCTTTCCTCAATGTAGCTACTAAAATATTCACTCAAATTTGTTTTAAAGACCCAACCGAGCCCTATATGCCCTCGTGTCTGGAGTATCCATAAACCAATTTAATATATTTAGTATTTTTCAAGGATTTATGCCCAGCGTCAGAAATCCTAAGGTCATTTTTCCCCTAGACTCTGAATAAATCTTCCTATAGCTTAAAGAGTGTTCCTTCAGACCTTAAATTATCCTATACAACATAGGGATTTAATGATTATTGTTGTATCTACTGACGCGCGCCAATTCTTTCATCTACCCTACAGGTACATACGTCAAAGTGAGCGGTACAACGCGAGGCTACGAGCGCGCCACGACCCGCCCAGGTACTGGCCCATCAACACCCTCAG